GACCTCCTGGAACACTTTCATTAAGTGGGGCTATATACTCCAACAATGTCAGCCATTAATGGATGGTTACCTTGAAGTCTTAATCCTATAATCTTAATCGAGTTGTACTCACTGCACAGGCCGTAGTCTGAGTTAATAACGTGCTGCCAACATGACCTTAAGGAGAGTTCATGGTGTTCTGAGCTACATACCATTGCTATTCATTGAACTGAAGATTATACAGTATATTGGTGTGAGAAATAATAAACCCTCTCAAAACACATCATCTCCTTGCGTTACTGCATTGACATTTTTAATCGTTTGTTAAAAAAATTCCAACATTATTAGTCTCAGGAGTTTAAAACATCAACTCCTGAAATGGAATATCAACCTTTCTACAGCTGATCAAGATATAACTGAAAATCTAATAACAAAAGCATTCCCACAACACTTTTTCACTTTCTATGAACATTTTATGTTGTTTCTGTATGTCTGCAGTATCCACTTACCTACTCATAGACCCCTAAATTTGAATGTCCATATACTGTAGCTGTTTGGCTGATCACCTCATATATTCAAAATAGATTGTTAAATAAATAACTGAAGACAGGAAACCCTTATGGTTTGCTTTGCTCCTAGAAGCAGTTTAAATAGATTTCATGCTTTTATTAACATCTCTTGCTATTCTTTGGGGAAAGAATTATGATGTTACACTGTGTCACATTCTTGGGCAAGTCGCGATTTTTAAAACGATTATTTCTGAGTGATGTGTAATCGTTCCAGAGCTAACTTACTGTAGCTGGATGTGTGACAAACTGCTGTCTGGTGATGTGGTATCAGAAGATTTTTGCTTTGATGGGAGATTTTGAGGTGAGTTGACGACTGATGGGTGCTAAGGTGAGGAAAAGCTGTTACCAGGTGGATGCAGTTGATGAGGAGGACATATGACCAACTGAACGACTAACATCCAAATGCGATACTACACAGCAGATGCTTCTCTGTGTGGGCGAGGAGATAATCTTGCACTTTGTTGTTGCTCTGCCAAAGACTAAATCCACACTCATATGTTTTAATATTTTAAAATGCATCACTTTTGCTAGCTTTACACCTGAGGTCCATACTACTGAGTTTTCAAGCTCCTAAAATGACTTTTGGAAATGGTGCTGGCCCCATTTCAGTTTGAAAACTCTGCGGTTGCATTTTAGTCTGAACCAGCAGAAACACATACTTTTGGAAACAATGACGCAGACACACACATTTGCTTCCTGATTCAGTCTTATCAGTCACAATGTACCCTTCCCTGATTTGTCACTGTTTTATCGCATGACCCTTTTCAGAGGAAAACGCCTTCAAATCTATGTTTTCCGCCACCATGACCACCTTATACTAATGTGTTACTCTCAGTTCCAACTTGTCATTGCTCCAAGCAAAGAAATCTATGGTCTTACATTTTGCCATTGCTGTTCCTCATTCGTACTAATTTCTGCAACTAAGCAACAACATGCCAAGTGCATGTGATTGATCATGTAATATGCATTTTAGGGAGTGTTATTGTATGTGTGTATACATCGTAAATGTATTAGTGTGGGTGTAGCCAAAGTGTTGTTCAGAGAACTGAGAAAAAGCACCGATCCAAAATATATTAAAGATTACCTCTTTTTTATAGGAACTTAGGGAGCTGTAATGTATCTTGTTCACATTGTGTTAGATTCTGCTTTTATTTCCATTTCCATACTCTGAGGAGAAGTTCTTTGATGACATTTTGTCTGAGCTCAGAAAGCTTCAAGTTTCAGATACATTCAGGCCGTGCTAAAACATCATTTTACTACTGCATCTGAAATAACTGTTTTCCAAAAAAAGAAAAAACACAAGAACTATGCCATGATTTAATTTTGGACATTTAAGCGCTGAAATATTTGCGTAGAACATGAGAATCAGCCAAAAAGGTACAGCAGAGGATATCACATTGATTGGTATCATTCCATGGTGCCATGCAGAGATATGACCAAGAAAAGGAAAATTATAGAAAATTGAGAATCATAATGCACGCAACTGAGCAACCTGTAATGAACTAAGTGGATCCATGCACTGAAGGCCATTCATAAACCACTGTCTGCCTTGTTTTTTCACATCTTAGATTATGAAAAATACAATAGAAAATGTAAGAACTCTCAAACTCACAAGTTCTCAAAAGTTCAGGTTGTGGAAAGTCTCTAGCTGTGGGATCTTCTTTTAATGAAAATCCACTGTCTGCACACAATGCCTAAACATTGTGATTGGCTTATATTACAGGACAATCTGATTGGTTCAGCTGAGGGAGGAAGGGGTGACAGAGGGGGAAGGTCAAGACAAGTGTTAACAAACATAGAGAAAGACAAAATGGGATCAAACATTCAGACACACACACACACACACACACACACACACACACACACACACACACACACACACACACAGTGTGGTGCATGTGCACGCCACTAACATTGCCACCCACTGAATAGCACCTGTGTCTATATGTGCGTGTATATCTGTGAGTGTTCGTGAGACTTTGGAAAAAGGTCATGGCTGGTCACAGTCAGAAGTCTCTCATATGGACTGGATCAGCCGCAGCAGAGGTCAGAGGTTAAGGGGGTCAGGGGTTGAGCTCTCTAAGCCAATCACAGGTCAGCGTGGGGCTGAGGGCCTTTCCATGTGAAGTAAGCGGTGCTTAGACTGGATAAGTGGAGCACAGAAAACTCCTGCTTTACGACCCAGTTTCAACCACCTCGCCAATCATGATGGGGTTACTTTATCACATCTGTTGTTAGTCAGTCACTTAATATTTCATCAGTTAATTAACTAGTCAGGTTCGTTAGTGCTTACCCAAAAATACATGACTGCAAGTTAATCATTTGTCATTATTTTGAGTGTTCCAGTGTGACTTGAGTAGTACAGTTGTAAGCAATTCAAATGAGATTTCTAAATGAGGACATCTTTTATCTTGTTTTTGAAATAACATTATTCATGATTTATGTGCAAGGTATTTGGTCTTTATTTTAGAGGAAGTTTGAGGTTCCCCAACTGACCTAATGCCCAGGGCCACAAAAACAGTCACTATCTGCTTTGGCTGTATTATGGTGAAATGTGGAAGTTAGAGTGAAAAACACTCCCATCACTAGTGGAATCAGTAAAGTCATAGGGACAGAATTTATCCAATCCAGTGCAACACTGTTGTGGTTGTTTATTGCACAAAATTTGCTATGACACTGAGCACTATTTGTTATGTCCTAGTTCGCTCACTTACGTCAGTCATTTGCACATTGCGCCCAGAGGAACTCAATTTCAGTCTGCTTTGCACTCCTTGTTGTATGGACCAGATGATAATGAATATTCACTTTGAAAATGATGAAGGCTACATCGACATACATCATATAATCACATTTGTTGTTACTGTAAATAATGTGTTTCAGTAAACACTTTTTTGGTAAATAGTCTATTTTAATCAACTCGTTTGAACTCACCAACCAATTTTGCTAGTAGGCACCAGGACATTGTATAACATCAGCATAAGAAAAACACTGCCCTGTGCATAGGTAATAAAAGAGGAGAGCTGTTCAGGGTTGGGTAACATTATATATTGTATATGTAGTATATTTGTATCTATTTCTGTGTCTACAGTATGTAAAGTGTAGCCAACTGGTTGATGGTTGACTTGGTTCACTTGTGAAGTCTACACTCTTAAATTCTGGTTAATGGATATGCAATAACTGAGTTACAGTCTCATTTAACTTCTAGCTATTTATTTGTTTAGTATGTCTATCTTTACCAATACTCAGCAATATTGTTTTGTATTTATGACTGTGAGGGTATTATGTAATTGTAATGTCATTTCATCCTTCTTATTTCTTACTTCTAAGAAATAATTACAAAATTACATAGATGTCAGCAAGCATCTTGATTCTGTCTGATATTTGTGTCCATATTTTTGTACAAATTGAACATATTAAAATGATTTCTTTTTCACTTGTCTGCATCTAATAGCTCCTCTCCTCTCTTTTCTATGTGCACTGTTGAGCTGTTGGGAAACACTTTTTTCAAGTGTTTCTGTCTGTATTTGTGAGCTTGGATAATAGTGTACGATTCTGTGAACATTATTACTACAAATCAGGATTTCCCCTGGCAAGTTTCCTTTCTTTGCTTGGAGATAGTTTCACACTGTGACATAACTACCTGGACCTCAGAATGTTCAAATAAATTTGGGGTTTTGGGATTGTCCCTGGACTCCTATGCCAGTGGAAACATGAGGCAAACTGAGCTATCTCTGTGGCTCATCCTTTAGACTGAATGTAGATGAAAGCAAACTGCTTGAACATGTAGTGAGCATAGCCTGTACAGTCTATGGTAGTGAGCAACAGATGAGCAGTATAAGTACATATTTTTTTCTTTTAAGAAAAGTGGAACATAAAGTGAGTTCAAGTCCTATTAAATACATTTGCACACTGTATATTATTACATAGACAGATTGAAGAGAAGGAGAGAGAGATTTGAGTTGATTTGCAGTGACACTTGTGAGGAAGGTTCACAGCAGCTACTAAGAAAGACAGTATTTGTGTTTCTGTGTGTGTGTGAGGGCTGATTCGCTTCTGTGTGTGTGTGCACGCGCGCATTTTCAACCCTGCTGAGCCCACGTTACTTTGATTGACAGGTGAGACTAGCCTTCACCCACCGCACTGCCCGCCCTGCGCGCCTCCGGAATGGTAGCTTTTTTCTACGCGCTAATTGGCCAGAATCCGCGTAGCTCAACCAGGTCAACAGACTCGGGGCAGTTTGCAGAGCGGCTATTGGTCAGCTGTGTACTCCACATCGTTATCCCCACGTGGAGCGGTGGCTCTGATTGGTCTACAGCCGTTTTGTGGGCCGGCCCACAGTTTCGGTTAGCCGGGGAGCGTGAAACCGCGTGAGAAAGTTGCCATTGAGGTAAAGCAGAGCTAGACGGTGGACTGCTGTCGCTGCCGTGGGAGTTGTTGTTATCAAAACGAACAACATTTTTTCTCTTTTTTTTCTTGAAACCTTTTTTGGACGCAGGTTTGCATCCAAACTCAGCGGGGAAGTAAATATTTCTGTTTTTGTTGACTGTTCAACCGCCAACTAGCAACCGCAGCGAGTCAAGTGGGAACTCTTCACTGCAATTAACTTGTGTGGATTTGTCTCTGATGCGCCGACTGAGAGCCGACAGTTTGCGGCTGTCTGTTGACGGTCTACTGGCCTGAATTTCTTGCTCATTTGTTTGTTTGGTCGTCTCTCTGTACTCGGAATACATCGGATCCTACACAAAATATACCCCGGAGTGATTGAGGTTGCTCCAGCCTTTTCATTTCTCACCTGGTTCATACCCTCTTCCTCCTCCCCCTTCGTTTAGTTGCCTCCAGCTAATGAGCCGTTTCCCGTGCTTTTCCGGTTGATTTACGGCCGCGCTGCCGGTGGAGCGGAGGAGAGACAACGACCGAAAGACAGCGAGAGACAGAGAAGAGCAGGGATTCACATTAAACGGTCGGTGAACTCGAACGGAGCGGGGGGCTGTCGGTTTTGTTTGAAATTAACGACAGTTGGTCCTAATAATAACGGCGGATGGATTCGTCTCCCTGATCTGGAGCACCTCACATCCTTATTGTACCCTAGTGGATCCCTCGAAACGGGGTTTTAAGAAGGAAACCGTTGTATCCTCCCGGAGATAACAATGTTTCCCCAGGGGCGACACCCGGTAAGTCTCTTCCCTTCCAGCTTCAACAGTAGTTACCTGGCTGTAACCGGGTGTCCATAGCCCGGGAGATAACACTACCTCTTTGTCTTACCCACGCCTCTTGTTGTCTTAGTTTTAACAGCCTTCAGGATGTTAATTGGGCTCTGCAGCTGCCCAGAGCAGCAGCGTGGGGTTGATAATATTGTTTGTTTAATAACGGCTAATAATTGAAAGTTGTTGACATTACATGTGAGCCTGGAGAGGATCAAATGCATATTGTAGGCCACATAATGAGGCACTGTGATGTTAACAATCCTGTGTGTGTGTGTGTGTGTGTGTGTGTGTGTGTGTGTGTGTGTGTGTGTGGTGTTTGTGTGTGTGTCAGACGCCCCACCAGGCTCCAGGCCAGCCCTTCAAGTTCACCATCCCAGAGTCACTGGACCGCATCAAGGAGGAGTTCCAGTTTCTTCAGGCACAGTACCACAGGTGGATAATACAAACATGCACATTCACATGGAAAGCTCCGCTGTCTTTATGGACGGCAAGATGGCCAATTTTCTCGTTGTCATCTACCCTCTAACACTAAACCTCACAGTAATCACAGTCATCCCCCTTACCATAATGAACAAAACCCCAACTCTGGCCTCATACTAACCCATAAACCTGGATTAGGTTCACATACACACAAAAGTGTGTGCACACATGCAGCAGACCCCAGGCATCAGTGTTAGCGCTTACACTGCGGTAGGTCTAAGTCTTGGTGATGGGTGAGAGCCAGAGGGTGGCGTGTGGGCTCAGGGTTTCATAAATCACTCCTTATTTTCCCCTGTGTGTGTATGTGTGGTTGTGTGTTGGGAAAAGAGACTGCCTGAGTATGTGTGCAGTTGTGTTTTTCTTTGCTTTGTGTGTATGTGCTTTTACTTATTTGTGTTGTCAGGGAGGGTTGGCCACAACAGGTGAAGGCTCCTGACCTACAAACAGGCTGCTTTGTTTTGAATTCACTTCCTGATTTACACATACATAGAAGAAGGGTTAAACCAAACATCCTACAGCCGACATACAATGGTTATCATAAGTTGACAGGAGGAATTGTCATCTATATTTCACTTTCATTCTCTTGTAAACTTGCTCTATGCCCCGCACTGTTTAGGTTAGTCTTTGTGTTTGTGGGTGCTTTAATCAATGAGCAAAAAGCATGAGGAATCAGAGGAGACTATAGCTTGTCTACCAAATCTTATGCTTCACTGTTGTTAATTTTGTATTGTAGGAAAACAGCTGGGGGATCTACAAATTGCTCGCTCAACATCCTCACTGTTTATTCTTAGTCTGACTTGCTGTTTTAGGCAAAAAAGAGAGGGTCACACATCTGTTTATGTCCAAAACACTTGCTTATATTCATTGATCAGGAATGAAATGTGTTTATACTGCAAAACTAAGGCCAAAACAACAAAATATCTATTCACAAGGGCTGATGATTATATATATATATACATATATATATATATGTATATATGTGTGTGTGTGTGTGTGTGTGAAAATTCTCAGTCAGTTGGAAACTGAGGTACTGGACTAAACTGATGGACTTGGGTTGAACAAGATCAAATTTGAATTGTGTTTTTCAGTCTCAAACTGGAGTGTGAGAAGCTGGCCAGTGAAAAGACGGAGATGCAGAGACACTATGTCATGGTGAGGTCCTTGCACTCAATTCATTTGCCTCATGTCATCACACATCAAATACTGCAGTTCGCCCTGCTGAATTGTCCTTGAGGAAAATGCTGTGTCCTTAACAGCTTCATGAATTCTGGAGCTGACTGTGAACTCTCATCTTTCCAAAGACTTATAAGTGAAAAATCTAAATGAATTAAGGAAAGAGGCATAATGGAAAAACTGCAACTTGACAGTAACACCTGCTTTTATAATGCAGTTTCATCACTCAGACATGTGAATGAAGATGATTATGGTGTGAGATTAGACTGTTTCAACTTTGCACTTGTCAGTAGGCATATCGTTCAATATTTCAGCAAACAAAACATTTCACTTGGTTGAATAGATGAGGTTCTGCATTTATCTGTTCTTTCTAAAGTAAAATACCCTGAAACCTGAATCCTTAAATGAATCGTCAAAAGCACTTGAGTGTATTTGGCACATAATGAATGAAGAAGAGCACAACATAAGAGCACACCATAATAAGATGCATACAATGGAAATAAAAGTTACAGAACATACTTTTTCAACTTAATAGCAGGCTTAAAGTATCAAGCCATTTTACGAGAGGTCAAAAGAGGCTTAGTGTGTGCCTAAAGCTTTTAGTCTGATACAGAAACAAACAAAAAATAGACAGGAATATCATTCTAAATTGTTTGCAAACATACTTATCCACATTACCTCTATGGTGACACTTCTACAAAGGATGCTCTGTATTTTAGAAGTAGTTTGATTGCTCTGTGAGAATGACCTGTCTTGACACTATTCCAAAAGAGATCAGCATGCCTGGTTTTCCAAATAAAACACCCTCATCTGTAAGGTTGCACATATTTTCTTAGTTCTTTCCGCTTTTTTTTTCTTCAAAGGTTCAGAATTCCTCTCACTAACTGAACCATTTGACTTTCTCTCCTCTCAGTACTATGAGATGTCTTATGGCCTAAACATCGAAATGCACAAACAGGTATGGATGCTTATCCGTCTGCCTCTTGTCCATTGTCTTCATCTTCCTGTTTGTCTCTTTCTCTCTCTCTCTCTCTCTCTCTCTCTCTCTCTCTCTCTCTCTCTCTCTCTCTCTCTCTCTCTCTGTCTCTCTCTATCATTCTCTCTCTATCATTCTCTCTCGTGCTCTCATGGCAAGGATTTTGATGTATTTGGTGTGTGTGCCTGTTGACATGTCCTTGTGTGTGCACAAATGCATTTGGGTGTTCATTCATTTGTGTGTGTGTGTTCTACTGTATCCCTGTGTGTGTGTGTGTGTGTGTGTGTGTGTGTGTGTGTGTGTGTTTGTGATCGATGGGGCTCTGTCTCCATTTCCCCAGTTAGGGCCGGCCGGCTGAGCCCAGAGGCAGGATGAATGGCTCTGTAGATTGATTGGTGCTGTCTAGGAGAGCGGCCTGCTTTATTACATTAGAGGGGCAGGGCTGGGGAGGGCAGAGGAATCGATCACGGTGAAGCCAGGAGAGGAGAGACCGTGGCGTGGAGCTCCCTGTGTTGGAAGCAGAGAGGCAAAAATGCACCACACACACACTTGAGTAAGGCAGATACACAAGTGTGGGAACACAAAACACTCTTACCTGTTGTAATTTACACACACAAACAGAAAGCAAAGGGCACTTATGTACAACCATAAGAAATGTTTGCAAGCACACAAGGACGTGGAAAATTGGACACATGCACAATAATGTACACACAAACACAAAAAGTGTTTATTCACATGCAAAGGCAAACATGGTCACATGGTTAAGTATGTAGACACATGGATGAGGAGGAAAACTCTCTCACTCTCTCTCATGCACACAGACACACGCATTTCCCCACAGGACTGTCGCAGGGCTCAGAGCGTTTACCAGTAATTACCACAGCTATCGACCAGTCAGACCAGAGGAAATTGGAGGTGGATTGGCCTGGCTGCTTCACTGAAGAGTGGGGATGTGTCTCTGACTCTTTCACACTCCCTTCCTTTAGGTTTTTTTCTCATGATCTCCTTTTTCCTCTTGTGTTATTCTCCCCTTTTTATACCCCAAGTTCTCTCCTTTTCTTTCTGCCTTTCTCACTCTCCATTTACAATCATGGGATCTCTTCTTTCTTGAGCTACACCCCCACCCTTGTTTCTCTTTTCTTGGCTCCTCTTTCGTTTTATGCCCATGTGAAGCTACTGTTCTTTTATTGTGAGGGAGCTGCATCTCTTTCCTATTGTCCACACACACACAAACACTTACACACACTCTAACACACACACTAAAGCTCCAGGGGAGGTCATTAGCTTGGGGCTGCAGTTGTCAGAGCAACAAGCTTCTGCGTGCGGGGGGTACGGGGGATACAGACTAACAACCCACCTCCTGCTGGGGAAGTACGGGTGTGTGTTTGCATGTAGAGAGACAATAATGCTCCAATTATATGTGTAATAGGAAGCCTGTTTTCTGTAAGCACATTGTGTGTGTATACTTGCATCTTCTCTCCGTATCCTCAACTTTTGTTTACCTGCTCTCTCAATTATATGAAGTGGATTGTGCATCATAGCAATTCTCCAATGTTGCTATTCATGAGCTGAGATGAAAAATTTGCTATAAGTGCCAGGATAAATGAGTTGTGGGTTTTTGTTACCTCTATTTTATTTGCTTAAAATGTTCTTGAGTCATGATCTGTAATGGTGCCTCGCTTAGGGATTACAGCCTCATTTGTTTGATCTTTGTTAGTTTTGTCAGGTAGCTTAGTTAGATTAGCTGAGCTGACCTGATAGTAGTTGGTCAGACTATTCTCAGACAGCCTAATCAGTGAGCCTTTATACAAGCCTAATTATAGGCTTACAAATCAGGATTCTGAGAATGGATGTGCAGGTATAGTCTGCCTGAAATAGCTCTTTATTTATAGCTTTCTAGGCATAGTATTATTTGGGCATTATGAGATTGAGTTACAGCATGCGGAAGACAGCAACTCATGAGCTGGTCAGGCTGCAGGTTTCTGGTGTTAAGGTCTCTCAGGCTGATGAATTGTGCAAAAGCTGAAGTTATGGGTACATCCGGTGCAATATTTACACTGAGAATAATGGCAAGGCATGTCACATAAATGCTGCACATTTAAATACAAACATCACACCAGCTGTGTGTCACCAGCAGCCTGGTTTGTCGCACAATATAGAAATGTAGCTCTCCATTATAAGCACTGTAAGACACTTGTACACAGATGTACAAGTGTCCATTGATAGCTCTTCACATTATGCAGCTAGAATAGACTCCAGTCTACCCAGATGTGTAAATGTGCATGTTAAGCTTTTCACCTTATCAAATCCTTATTAAACATATCATATTGTGTGTCATATGCAGTCACACATGCAGATATAGATGGCAAACAGAACTACAAGTGCTCAGAAGGCTAATAGCTCCATATTCTCTTTGATCCTGAAGTCAGTTATTTATAGTGTAATTGATTGTGTTTAGTGTTCACTATTCCATATTAACTTACCTCGATTTTTCTTTTTACTAATATCTTTACTTACTTTAACCTAACCACCTTATTTAAATTCTTCTGGGTAGTGTCGTGTAATGTGAACCTTGCCAAGAATTTTCTTTTTTTTTTTAAGTTATATTGCAGGTGAAGCAGATACTTGTTTACTTCAGTAGTTGTTTTGAATAGATTAGTACTTTATTTAGCTCATACAAATAAATAATTGGCTGAACTGTGGCAGGCTCAGTTGTTTGTGAGTTGGTAGGTGCGTGTGTGTGTGTGTGTGTGTGACAGAGAGGTCCAGTGAGAGCAAGTATGCTCAAGCTAAAGAGGGGGTCTTCACAATGTCAGCTCTTCAGGAATGATCAAACCCATTAAATAATACTTAGAGCTAGTGGCATGGCTTTAGGGATGACAGTGTCCCTCACTGTGGTCCAGACTGAAATATCTCAGCAGCTACTGGATGGACTGAGATGAAATTTTGTACAGACATTCATTGTCTCTAGAAGATGAACCACGTCCTCTGACTTTTCCTCTACCGTGAGGTGGACATTTGTAATATGAAATATCTTGACAACTATCGGATGGGTTGTCATGAAATTCTTGTCCCCCTCAGGGTGAATTGTTAAAGTTTGGATCCTTTGACCTCTCGTCTGACATCATCAGGTCAAAATTTTTATTTGTCTAATACTGTGGTTTATGACCAAATATCTACACTGCCATCATCTACAGTTGTAGTTATGTGTTAAGTGCTAAGTAGCAAATGTTAATGTGCTAACTTGCTTAACTACAATGTGTTAGCATTTAGCTCAAAGCGCCATTGTGTTTAAGTCCAGTCTCACAGAGTTGCTTGCATGTCTGTATACTCTTGACCTTTTAATAACAAAGGAATTGCAGGATTTTCCACAAATCTCTTGCATGGCGGTTGGTAGAGGGAAACTGACATATCAGTACAAATTTCAAAATTTAGATTGGAAACTGGAGCAATGTAGGTCTCTTAACCCTATGCAATGTAAAGTCTCTTGGAAAGAGGAAGTTCTATATATTATTAGTGATTACTGTAAAAAGGGGGAACGAATCATTGTAACCAGTTATTTCTACACCAGGTAAAGTAATTGTTGGGTCAGTTAAATACCCACAGATTGTTGCTATGTGCTTTACAACATGTAAACATGTCTTTTTAGCTTGATGACCATGGCTGAGTTTTAAAAAGTTTTCACAAGCCATAAGTATCATTAGTTTTCATCCCATAATAATGAAAATCATCCATCTTTTCACATAACAATAAATATCCCTTTTGAAGTTTTCACATCCAGCATGTGTCTATGTATCTATTTATATGGGTTGTGTGTCTGATGAGCCATTACTATGTTTCATGGCTCCTCCAATTCCCTCTTCACCCTGGCCTTCTTCGTATCAATTTGATTGGATGATATGTAATATGAGTTCCCTTATCTGATTTAATGCCACTGTGGGGGTATCTGGTTTCAGCCAATTGTAGCCAACTCCGGGGGTTTGGGGGGCAGGCGGATGTGTTGGCATGGATACCGGGTGAGAGCAAATGAAGTTAGTAGCTGATGAGATTATGTTGAAGTGCTGATGGGAAGAGGGACAAGAGCACAGAGCATAGAGAGAGTGAAAGAAATACAACAGGCAAGAGAGAAACTTGAGCTCACACTCATGATTAGAAAGGAAAATCTCATCATACTGTGTGTGTGTGTGTGTGTGTGTGTGTGTGTGTGTGTGTGTTAGTGACGCTGAAAATGACACACACTAGATTTTTGTGTAGAGAGAAGTGGATAAGTGTAGTTATCATATCACAGACTGGTAGGTATTGTGTATATGTGTGTTTGTTGTTGGTTTGCTGTGGTGACAGCAGTTTTCAATGTTTTTGTGTGTGTGAGTGCGTGTGTGTGTGTATGTGTGCGCTTGTATTACTTTATTGGTGTTAGTGAACATCTGTCTTTCTAAATGAATGTAATTATGCTATTAACAATTAAGTCTCTTTCTGTCTCTGTGTGTCTCTTCCTTCATCAGACTGAGATAGCCAAGAGACTAAACACCATCTGTGCACAAGTCATTCCCTTCCTCTCTCAGGAGGTAAGTATGTGTGACTTTTAGCTACAGACTAGGGATGCCACGAGAACCAATACTTTGGTACTAAGTCGATGCCAAAATTCTGAGAATGTGTCGGTACTTGTTTTTCTACAGTACCATAGGTACTGTAGATGTCGTAGGTACCTGAGATGCTATTCTTTGGGGATATAACCCTATGAGCATCCTTGTCTAACATCAAACCTGAAGAGAAGAAGGCAGGCAGGCAGGCAAACTGGTGTATGGAGATATTTTGCATTTGACGCGCATCAGCAGGGACAAGTTATGGACAACCAAAAGCCATTATGAAAACGGTGCAACAGAGCATTCCAATTGGAAGGAGGAAACACCTCAAACGTATCTAAGCAGCTCAAAGACAGACATCCGGATGTGTACACATAATTCAGGGTGATGAGTTTCAGTTGTTAACTTTGTATTAACAACATGTTCAAAATGTTCATGTCCTGAAATGTTTCGGTTATTGTTTGATAACTGCGACAGTTGGCTTTTGTTGTAGCAACACCCCACACACAACATTCACAAAGGCTAACGTTAGCTTGTTTAGGCTGACATAGCAACAGCTCATAATGTGAGCAATGAGCTCAAAACATTAGCAGGTTACTGTCATTACTGTACAGTCTGTCAAAATATAATGCTGGCTTTTTAAATGAGCATTTTCAGACCATGGGTGTGGTGGAGACGTGCACTTGTGTGTGTTAACACACTGTGTGTGTAGCAGTATCTGTTGATATCTGTTTTTTTTCTGTGGTATTGAATTTGGTATTGAGAATCGTAGAATTTCATTGCTATTGGTACTGACTACCAAATTCCTGGTATTGTGACATCCCTACTACAGACTATGTTTTTTTTATGCTATTTATACACTCTAGTTGTCTCTGCTAGCTCTACTGATAAATCTGCCTTTTACTCTCAGTCTTCAACCAGACTGTGTGTGTCTGTGTGTTTTGCAGCATCAGCAGCAAGTGGTCCAAGCTGTGGAGCGGGCCAAACAAGTGACCATGGCAGAGCTCAATGCCGTCATCGGGGTACGTGGACTGCCAGGTCTTCCACCTACAGTGTGTATTCCTCTACTTCCTTTTTACTTACATTATATTGACTGTGTCTGCATGTCTGTTTACTGCATAAGAAATACATTTCCTTCCCTACACATGAAAAGACAGAGATGCAAAACCTTTTATATTTTGATTCTTGAATAGTGTAATTTTAATCTCTGATACTTGCCTGCTACAACTACATTTTTTTTTCTGGAAAAGGGCACTTGTTCTTTGTGTGCAGCCGTGATAGCCAGTATGTCTAGTGTTGTTGTATGTGAAAGAGCACAGGATGCCATACTACACTGCTACACGAGTATAGCAGTATAAGATAGTTTAAAAGTGAGGGAAGGATAAAATACTCTGATAAGCGTTCAGCTGTGTATATGCCAATGCTATACCTCTCCATAACCTCACATATAGGAACAGGATGTCAACAGGTCTGTCTTTTATTTGTGGAAAAAATTTCACTAAATACCGTCAGAATCAGTACTAAAGCTTTACAGTGGTACTGGTAATATAAATTATACACCTGCGCAAATACGTTTACACTGATTATACATTTGAGGCATATGGCTGACTCTGAACTTTAAAGGAGATGCAATTATTTCAATCCCTTGATCACCAAACTAATCTCAAAGTCATGGGCCAATGGCACAGTCCCCCAAAAGTGTTTTTGGGATTGTCATGTCATGTCAGACATATGAAAAAGTTGGTAGGCATACAATTTCTCTTTTTTATGGACTATGGGCCTGGGAATAAAAATGGGTTGATTGATTGATTGATTGATTGATTGATTGATTGATTGATTGATTGATAGAAATGATCTTTTTCACAGTGAGTGAGTAGAGAAGAAATTATATGATTCAGTGAGAGAAGTGTGATGAGTGGTGTTCATTGAAAAGATGTCATCAGCCTGTGATGAAGGATGGGGCATGACCAGCTATTCTCAAGATGAAAATGGATTGGTATGATGAGAGTAAGGAGACATTACAAATACAAATGTTTTACTTGCAATTCAGTGGTAATGTTAGTTGAAAAGAGAGACTGAGTTGAGCTGTTGGTGGTGACTTTTTGGGTGGGACTGTAGAATGGTTGAGAATACTCAGCTTCATAGTTGCCATAGGGGAGGCCAGGGGCGTGTGTTTAAGGGAAATTAGGGTGAAGGAAGGGGGTGGGAGGGCTTTAGCTTAGCAAAGAGTGGCACTGGGCTTAGAGGGTATTTTGGTTAGATGTGAGGTGGGCTTGTTAGTTGGCGTGGACTGATGGGGCTCTCTGTTAGTGTGTGATGGGGGGAGAGGTGGATTTGGCAGTTGCTGTTTGAGTCTTAATTGCAGGATTTCAGTGTTTGTAAAAGGGGGGTCACGGCGTTGCCCTTACACTCCCCTCTCCCCCTCTCCCCCTCTCCTCCCGTCTCCCACGCCAGCCTGTCATTCACCCCGTTTGTGAGTTAAATGAGTGTAATGAAGCATGTTGCCCTTACCTCTATACACACACACACACACACACACACACACACACACACACACACAGACATGCATACACACATGCATACACACCAGCTCACACTAACATCCCATGACAAACCAGGCTCCCCTTGCCTCCACCAATGCTTCCCCTCCATTTACTCCCATCAGGGGTCCTGTCTGTGTATACGTGTGTGTGTTTTTGCATCTGTTTGTGTGTGCGTCTGTGTGTAGCAGAGCGTACGTTTCTGTTATCCTCAGAAAACAACAGTCAGGGGGAGGATGGTTGAGTAAGGGTGTGTGTGTCTTCCTTGTTTATCTAGACTCTGTGTATGCATGTTAGTGTGATCAAGTGTGACATGTGGGTGTGTTTATGTTTGATTGTTTGGCAGGCGAGCCAACTCAGGAAATTGAGTGGTGTGCGTGTGTGTGTGTGTGTCTGTGTGTCTGTGTGTGTCTGTCCGTACAGGCAGGCATGGGGGCTGAGGCTAAAAGACTATTTTGTTGTGTTGCTTTCATTCATCATGGCAGGACGCAGAGAGTGAAGGATGGATAGAGAGGAAAAGAGAAGGCGGAGGCTCAGGAGAGGGGGAGTGGGTTAGTCAATTAGGTGAGATAAAAGTCGGTTTGACCTTCACCACTCCTTCCACCCCTGCCGAGTCACCCCCTGTGCCCCCCTTCTCCTCTCCTCTCCCTCCTTCCTCCTCCCCTCCCTGCGGCGAATCAGTGAGCTTGGATTCCCGCGGCTACTGTCTGAGGAGGCAATAATGATGTTTTGGAACACAAAGGCATTTCACGCTCAGACGAGCGCCTGATTTGGTGTGAAAGAGAGAGCAGGGCTGCCAGCCAAACTCTCTCTCCCTCTCTTTCACCCTCTTCTCTCCTTCTCTCCTCCCCTCTCCACTCAGCCGCCTCACACCCTCACAAGACCTGACAGTGCAGGCAGCAGCTGGGGCTCTCGGCTCTCTCCCCCTACTTCTCCGTCATTCCTCCTTTTCCTCCCCCCTCTTCTCCCACCACATCCTCGGGCTCTGGGCTGTGATCCCAGCTGTCAGTATTGTTCAGTGTTTGACCTCGGAGGGAGGAGGGGGTGTGTGTGTGTGTGTGTGTGTGTGGGTGTGTGTGTGTGTGTGTGTGTGTGGGTGTGTGTGTGTGTGTGTGTGTGTGGGTGTGTGTGTGTGTGTGTGTGTGTGGGTGTGTGTGTGTGTGTGTGTGTGTGGGTGTGTGTGTGTGTGTGTGTGTGTGTGTGTGTGTGTGTGTGTGTGTGTTGGTGTGTTGGTGTGTTGGTGTGTTGGTGTGTGTGAGGCTGTGTGTAGGGGGAGAGGATGTGTTCACTGCCTTGTAGATTGCAGCAGCTTGTTGAGATGGTGTAAACCCAGGCGCTGAAGAAACTGTCCCATCTGTTGAAGACTTCAATAAGGCCAGAAATCTATATTGATTAGGTTACAGAGTGCTATTGATTCTTACCTATTGATGCCTTTAACTGACACATGAGGTTTTGGAGTCAAGTGTCAGTGTTTTGCACCTTTAAAGCAGCTACATTATAGCTTTTTTTGTCTACATCCAGTGAGCTCACCGTCTCATCTTTTTAGTACTTGCCAACATGAATGCTGAATTCTAGCAGCACAGTCCACTAACTTAGGTTTGTTTTCCAAGGCTAAACTGCTGGTGAACACACTGCTCCTTTTTAGTGGCAAATCAAAACTTTATTTTGTATTTGCAGTATATTGCGAGCTTTAAACTAAGAACACCTCAAGAAGACTCAGCTTTGTGTTGCAGCATCCCTGAATGTTCCCCATTTTTTTTATCAACTCAACTTACATCACCTTTCTCTGTCTGTTTTTTCTCTCTGTCTTAAAGCAGCAGCATCTATCCCATAACCATGGTGGTGCCCCAGTGCCCCTCACCCCTCACCCTGCTGGTCTCCACCCCTCTCAGCTGGGTGGTTCAGCTGGCCTCCTGGCTCTTTCAGGAGCACTTGGTGCTGTTCCTCCCCATCTGGTGGGAAAAGACGGTGGTGATAAAAAGCCCCACCTGTCCGGACCAGACGCACACACTGGAGGACCTGAGCACCTGAGAGGTGAACAGACACACCCTCCAGCACAGAAACATTTCCTAAAATTATTATGTATTAGTTTGTGAATAACTGAAGTTTGTGAATAACTGAATTATAATGTCACTCAACTTGTATTCAACTGTGTATTATCAAAGATGCATTATTTTAGTGTCTTTATTGTTTACTTCCTCTCTAAAGTTTAGGTTCTTAGTTATAATTATAATGAAATGCACAAAACATTTCCAATTCATTCTCCTTCCTATCTTTTTTTTGTTTTCTGCTCTGCTGAACACCCACCCGTGTGACCTCCACCACATCCATGAATTTCCAATGGCAATAGAGCGAGAGCCTGGCACAGTAAGTACTTTTCTCTTTCTGGTCTGAGTATTTTGACAAACCACTCACTTTATTTTGTTGGGGAATTTGACTTCGTTCTTAGATGCTGTTTACATGGATGGATGTCTGTGGGATTAGTAAACTCTACTCAAACCCTGCTCTAAATAAACTACATTTAATGTACATATAGCAAATAAAAGTAATGATGTAATTGTTTGAACTTACTGCGCTTATGAAATTATCGACATGTTGTTATGCAGGAAAAACAGCAAAAGCTAAAAAAATAAAGACATAGACAAGGTGGTCTTGTGCAAACCATTTAATTTTCACACGTTTCACACAATATTTAAAAAGGCACATTTATTCTAAGTGACATGAAAAATTAGACTTGGAATTCGTAACTTCATGTAAGCTGCACCTATTGCTGAGGCAGGCTCATTTTGTCATTTTATTGGAAATGCATTTATTATCCATTTTTTTTGCTGCTGTAGTGAACCAATTTCCCCTTAGGGACCAATGAAGTTCATCTCACCATGTTATTATGTATATAAAACCACCTTGCAGTTTTTTACCACTTTTTCAAACCCAAATAGCTTTCATTGTTGAAGGCGTATTTTTGATTGTCAGTTTCAAAGTGTGTGTGTGTGTGTGTGTGTGTGTGTGTGTGTGTGTGTGTGTGTGTGTGTGTGTGTTATGTGTGCTTGGGGATCTCTCAGGGAGAGCTTTGGCCTGCCTGTTTAGTTCTGCTCTAGATCTGCTCTGAACTGTTAGGTTTCCTTTCTCCTCCAAATGAGCTTTTTAGCATGGTCACACACACGCGCACACACACACACACACGCACACACACTTTACATAATACAGACATGCGCACACACACACTCCTCCAGCCTAGCCTGCATGTTGTGCCTATTTAACACCACCTCAGTGAGCAGATTACCCCCCCCACACACACACACACACCCCCACCCCCACCCCCCCACTGCCCCTGATCCCTCCGCGCTTAAAGACTCTCATTGTGTTTAATATCACCACCACTGAGAGGGGAGGGCTTGGGAAAGGGTGGGGGGTGGGGGGTGGGGGGTGGGGGGGTGAGGGAGCTTGAGGGAGCAAGCATCATATGACACTGAGCTTGTGTGTGTGTGTGTTTGTGTGTGTGAGAGAGAGAGACTATGCTAAAAGCGAACAGGGGAGGGATGGAGGGGGGAAATTGCTTATGTTTTGCGGGTCAGTGCTCCTGTGCTCAGCTCACTAAAACCTTTCAGTAAAAGGGGAGGAGGTGGGAGGGAGGAGGAGGGGAGGGCGTGAAGGAAGGGGCCTTTGGCAGAATACAGATTTTCAGCCCCCCCCATGCCTCTCTTTCCCTCCCTCATCTCTTGTCACCCTTTCTTCTCCTCCACACTCTCACACCCTCCCTCCATCCTCTCTGTCCTCTAATCTCATCCCCTCCCTTTCCCCTTTTTTCTCACCATCCTCCCATGCTCCTCCTCTCTTAGCTATTCCTCCTTCATTTACCCTTTCTCCCCTCAAAGCCCACTCCCTTGCTAGATATGTGCACGCGCATGTGTGTTTGTGTATGTTGTATGCACATTTCATTGACAGGCTGAGACTATAATGGACTCAACATGAAGCTTTAATCCATTAACAATAGGATCCGTTGGTCAGGAGGCCAGAGGGGGGCAGCTCTGGTGTGTGTGTGTGTGTGTGTGTGTGTGTGTGTGTGTGTGTGTGTGTGTGTGTGTGTGTGTGTGTGTGGGTGTGTGTGTTGTTGTGTGGTGTGTGTCTTAGTCTTGGGACACAGAGAGGGCGCATGAGTGAGTTATGCAAGTAACAACACTTATAGAACGCTCTGTACTACACTTTGATACATACACACAGGCTTTTCACAGTCAATTACTACATTGCCACGCACACACACGCACACCACACACACAAATACACACACAACATTACTGCAGCCAGTTTGCACTTGTCAGAGCCAGGAGAGGGAGCCACTGATAGATTGAGACCACTTTAATGTAATCATCACTTCCACAGGCGTGTGTTTGGTGTGTGGCTGTTGACTGGCCATTGCAAGTGAGAAAAGAGCGTTGCTGTTAGTACTGAAGTGTTAGTGCATACTTAATTCATGCTTCTGTGAACTTATTAACCTAGTTTGCAATAAGGAGTCTGTTTTTCTTAAAAACCTGGCTTTCTACACATAGCTGGAATAGCTTTGTAATTAGTGGTAGATGTATCAGACGATCCACTGAGACTCATGAAGCACATCACAAAAAATCACACAAACTACCAATTGTAAATTGTCTCACCTCTGCAAAATCCATTGGTTTTTTCTTCTGTTGTCCTTCAAACTCTCCTCTCTCTTTTTTCTATTTTTCTACCTTCACACTACCCATCATCTTATCTTTAATCTCTCTCCTCCCTGTGTGCTCCTATTTCACTGTTCTGTCCTTCTACTCCTCCTCTTCTGCTTTCATCTGCAGAGTAACTCATTGCTGCCAGAAAGGCTTAGGAACTCGATAAGCGTCGCGCACGCGGACCTGAGTTCCGAAACGACACAAAGGAAACGCAAGGCGGATGACAAGGACTCCAGCCACCTACTGTAAGAAATGGTTTCTGGGTTGTCTGTGTGTTGTTGGTTGTTGTTGTGCAATTGTGCAAGTGAGGAACATGCATATTGAGTGTTTTGTTTCCGAAGTGATGGTTCACTTTTGGTATTAATCTTGTACTGATTCACTTGTAAGTTCCTTGTAACAGTTCTGTTTTCAGCTAATAAAAGGACAAGACATTGTGACAATCTTCTGTTAAAGAAATTTTACACAGATGAAGTGAAGGGAGAGAATATTTAATGTGAAGCTAACTGATGTCTGTCTTTTTTGCAGATAGCGACGGGGAGAAAAGTGAATGTAATTTAGTGAGTGGATGTCTCAAATGAGGTCATTTATGTTTTTGATTTTTTTTTTTTTTTTCGATTGTTTGTTAATAGTTTGACAAATTGTTGGTTTTTTCCCATGGGAGGGATGTAAAAAAATTAAAATGACAGGCATCACAGTAGTGTGTGGGGATGTCGTTCTATGAATTGACTATAATATAGTTCACAGTTGTCCATGGGACTGAAATTGTTCTATCTAGTGAAAATGCCAACATCCACTTTTGTACAGTGATTTTTTTTCTCGAGGTAGTTCACGAATCCTTGTCCCTTCACCAGGATCCAGGCCTTCTCCTCGTGGCACACCTCTCCCCTCACCTAGAGAGAATGGCCTGGATAAAGCACGTCTTCTCAAGAAAGACCCCTGTTAGTCCAGCCTCTACTGCATCATCACTAACAATAAAACCTAAAAACTCCTCCTCCCTCAAGTCCAAGAGGATTGGCAATGGAGGATGGATTAAGACCAAATTATTTTTCAGATTTTTAGCATATAGTTTGGATAAACTAGGTGGATGGATTTCGATAGATGTTGAAATACATATGTCAGTAGTTACTTTGTTGTATTCTGAAAGTGTCTCTCTCTCTGTTGGCAGCGAGAAAGGCAGCACACTGGGCTAAAGTCACAGCACCCCCACACCTAGAGGTGACTCCACCCCCTGGTCGAGCTCCCACACCTGGAATTCGGCCAAGTCTGTCCAAACCCCCTCCATGGAGATACCACAATCCACCTAGTTAAGCCCCGTATAAACATTTTGTAATTAATTGATATGATAGGTTGTGTTAATTAATATTTGAGTTTTGCCAGGGGTATGAGTTGTCTTTTCTAACTTGTCTCCAGGGAAAATTCACATTATCACAAAAATCAAGCGGCTTTGGATTAAATCATGCAGGACTTACTTTTTCCTGCTTGCCAAAAATGAACTGTTGTTGTAAGCTTGGAGGTCACCAATTGTTCTTCATGGCACACCTTTACTTTGGAAAAATCTCAAAATATTAAAATAACACAACCTATCATATCATTCAATTACAAATGTTTATACGGCTTATAATAGTGGATGTGGTATCTCCATGGAGGGGAGTCATTGGACAGACTTGGCCGAATTCCAGGTGCTGGAGCTCGGGACCAAGGGTGGAGTCACCTCTAGGTGTGGGGTGCTTGACTTTAGCCCAGGTTTGCCTGCCTTATGTCGCTGCCACAGAGAGAGAGACACTTCAGAAATACACAAAGAATGTAACTACTGGACATATGTATTCAAACAATCTATCAATCCATCCACCTAGTTTATCCAACTATATGCTGAAAATCTGAAAAATATTTGTCTTATCCATCCCTACCATTGCCGTCTCTTTGGACTTGAGGGAGGAGGAGCTAGCTGGATGATGCAGTAGAGGCTGGACTACAGGGGTCTTTCTTTGAGAAGACGTGCTTTATCCCAGGCCATTCTCTCTAGGTGAGGGGAGAGGTTGTGCCACGAGGGAGAGGCTGGATCCTGGTGAAGGGACAAGGATTCGGGTGAACTACGCCGAGAAAAAAAATCACTGTACAAAAGTGATGTTGGCATTTTCCTAGATAGAACATTTCAGTCCCATGGACAACTGTGAATATTATTAAGTCAATTCATAGAACGACATCCCCCACACATACTGTGATGCCTGTCATTTATTTTTTTTACATTCCCTCCATGGGAAAAAACCACAATTGTCAAACTATTAACAAACAAACTGAAAAAAAAAAAAAAAAAATCAAAACAACTGACCTCATTTGAGACATCCACCACTAAATTATCATCACTTTTCTTCCCCGTCGCTTCCTGCAAAGACAGACCATCAGTTAGCTCACCATTAAATATTCTCTCCCTTCACATTCCATCTGGTAAATTTCTTTAACAGAAGATTGTCACAAATTCCTTGTCCTTTTATTAGCTGAAAAAACAGACTGTTACAAGGAACTACAAGTGAATAGTCAAGATTAATACCAAAGTGAACATCACTCGAAACAAAACACTCAAAATGCATGTTTCCTCACTTGCACAATTGCACACAACAACACACACACAGACAACAGAACCATTTCTTACATAGTGGCTGGAGTCCT